TTTCCATTCTTCATGAATGTGCATATTTTATCATCGGAGTATTGTCGTAGTCCCTTGTCAAGAGCTGCACCCGCCAAAAAAAGATTGGAACTTAATTCTGGTACGTGAAAAACATTACTGAGGTACTTTCGCACCCACTCTTTTCCATTAAAAGCAAGAATGTCGATATCTCCTGATCCAATTGCTTGAATATATTTTCCATCGCCTATCTTACTATTCTCTACTGTGTCAAATTTTTTATACGACGAGAACCATTCGCAACGATTTAACATGTGCTCAGTCGCACCTGAATCCATGTGCCATGCATCATTGGATGTTTCTAAATTATATTCTGCAGACATGGTTCCAATGAGTGCCTCTTCTTTCCTTCCTTTGTATTTTTTGTTTGCTGTTTTTCGGTTTCTACGTTCCTTGATCCAATGCCCTGGTTTGTGGCAATAATGACATACGCCTGGTTTAACGTTGCCTTTTTTGAAATTTTTCTTGTATTGATGCTTATTGGCAGTAAAAGCAATGTTTTCTGCCCTTTTTTCGGTTCCCATTCTTGTTTCCTCAATGGTGAGCCTTGAAATAAGATTTGTGAGAGTGCTTTCGTTGGGTTGAGTTGATTCCCACGCACTAATAAAATATTTGAATGATGGAGGTAGCGTCATGAATATTTTAGTAATAATCATTTGATTTGGAATTTTCTCACCCAGAATTTGTAGCCGATGTGCAAGATTCTCAATTTTTACGATGTGAGTAACAACATCGCTCGATTCCTTCTGGTAATTGTACCATTGCTGCAACAGCATGTGTATACTAGTATCAGATTTTTGTTCGTAAACAGATTCCAGCTTTTTCCACATATCCTTATCCGATTCACAATTGATAATATGCAAAAGTGGTTTTTCATACACTGATGTGGCGATTATTCGTTGAGTTGTACTGTCGAATTTTGTCCAGGCAACGCGTGCTCGATTTGCCGCATCATCTCCTGGTACAGGAAGAATTGATTCATCTGTAACTATTTCTTATGAACTGCAGGATTTCAAAGTAACGCGCATTTGAAATTTCCATGAGGCCCAATTTTCTAATTCTTTCAGCTTATTAATACGAACAGTTTCGTTCTCAATCACGATTAGGATTATATTTCACGTTTACTCAAAGCCGGATAATAAACCCACGTGCTTTTTCAATTTAATTATATTTTATTTAATTATTTATTGTTTCTTTCGTAATTTGGGCCCATAATCTGCCCGTTGACTGGGCAGTGGAAAACAATAAATAAAAATATACGGGTTTAGATGAATGAATATATTTGATTATACGTGATTGCGCGTATCTGTTTACAAAACATTTGAAATACGTGTATCGAAGAGAAACAAATAGCTACTAACTATAAATATAAATAGTAATTTTGCTGACAACATTCAATAATGAAATCACATATAAAATTTTAGTGAACTTTAAATTATATAACATTAATAATTAATTTTTCTATTCGAATATTGATAATTAATAAATCTTTAAATCTATTAATAAATCTTAATTGAATCAAAAAATTTTTATTTATAAAATAAAAGTTTATTACATAATATAAAATAATAATAATATTATTAAAGAAATAATTATTCTATGTTATAAATCTATGAGAACTCAAATTATCAGATTTATAAACTATATCAATGTATCATTTAATTCATAGAATAATTCTAAGAATAGTTCTTCAAGTTGTAAAGATATTTTCATATAATAAAATTATATATCTTTAACAATTTTGGAAATTAATACATCTCTTACTAATAAAATAATAGCACCTGAAGGAATATTTTAAAATATATATAGAATAAGTTATTTTTCATATATCTTATATATTCTATGTATCTCTATTATTACGTATACCAATAATTTATAATGATATTGAAAGAATTCCTAAAAGAAAACGTAAACATTAGCTATTATAACCCGGATAAAATGATAGCACATATTATAGTTATTAAATTGAACTAGTGAATGAAGCGAAGAATTCTAAAGTTAATATTTCATATCATTCAATATCATTTAGTATTGGAATAAATAAACAATGAAAAATGGTTAAATCAAAATGAAATAAAAAATTTTTTTTTATTACTAAGACGCGAAAACTATTCTATTGCAAAAATTGCAAAATGGAAACTGTAAAGCAATGATTAATTTGTTAAAAAATCAATATGGGAAAAAGAAAAAGGGAATGTCCATATATAATAATAATTCATGAAAAATGATTTTACTCTAATTTTAAAGGTACAGTTTAACAAATTGCTGCAAAACTTTGTATTACAATATTCAAAATAAAACAATTATAATATATAAAATATATATATATAAAACAAAAATAAAATAATATTCAAAATATTAGACATACTTTATAATAAATATGTAATATATAAAACAATTTAACGGCAGAGATTAAAACAACGACAATTTCCCTTAACGACAAAACATAAAGAGCTATTTATAATTTGCTCGCGAACATGTTCAGTGAAAAAGAAAATGGAGAAATTTTATTTTCTTGAATGAAAAAAAATTTAATTTAGATAGATTCGATGGGTAGAAATTATTTTTTTTGATAAAAAAAAAGAATTAAGTCATCGCCAAATAAAATAAGGAACTATAATAATCTGGGCAAATATTGGATATCATGGAAAGACTGAAATAAACTTTATTATTATATGGACAATATTATTGATTGATAGTTAATTAAATAATTATGCCGCAAATTACAGGCCAGAATTATATTTTTTAACAAGATAATACCATATGGCAAAACGATTAAAAGAACATTTCTCAGATGAAAACATATCCCATCTTGAATGATGAATTTGAATATAATTGAAAATATTTGATCAGAACTTACAAAACAAATATATATAATTGAAAGATAATTTCAAACCGTTAATGATTTGAAATGTTGCATTTTAAAAGAATTTTACAATTTCACAAAAGTTTATAAAAAAATTATAAATCACCGCTATGGAGAATGATAAATATTATTGAAAATACAGGTGGATTGACAAAATTAAAAGTAATATAGTTTCATATTTATATATCTTTATATTATAAAAAAAATAAGATGTGCTATTTCTTTGTACCATTTACTTTAATAATATATCCATATTTTTTTTATTTAAAAAAATTATATAAATATAAGTTATAAATATAAATTAAATAATTTAAAAATTATATAAATATAAGTCTAAAATAAAATAAATATATTATACTTATATAATTACTCTGCCTTTAAAATATGCAAATATGCAATTATACTTAATATGCTATCATTTTATTACGCAGTGTATAATTAAATGTTAAAAGTAAAACTATGGAATTGATCTAAACTCATAGAATTAATTTCTGAACAACTTTAAAAATTTAGATAATCTTACTACGTAGAATGTGCAGGATAAATCTGAATGAGACTTATAAAGATATGAAAAACTATAAAATATTTTGATGTTTTTGAATTATTTTTAATAGTTTTTGATATAGCTTTATTGTATATCGTATCGTATATGAAGTACATTATTTTTGTTTATTTTAAATACTATTATTTTTGTTTATTTTTAATTAAAAAATCAGTTATTATAATAAGTTAATAATAAGTTAATAAAATATAATAAGTTATATTTATATGATATAAAAATTATACTTGACAATATCTCCAAAAACTTTTTATATTTCTTTTAAACACAATTTATTGATATTTTATATATAAAAAATAATAATTTTTTCAATAATATATATATAATATTTAATTATATTGTGATTATGTTTACATTTATGATGAAATATTATTATATGATTATTGACAAATAAATTATTATTCTGATTAGATGATTTTTCACGAAAGAAATGAAATCATAAAAATATATATACTTAATTCAGATTCCATTTTAGATTAAATAAAAAAAAACAGATCAAAATAACAATGAAAATAATATTAGAAATATTAATAAAATCATAGAACCAGAATTTAATATAAAAATTATTAAAAATTATTTTACAATAAAAATAACAGATATATTATAAGTCAAATTAATCCAATTCTTAATGGATACAAATCAGAAAACAAATGTTATCATTTTAACATCTCTTAAAAACATTGATAAAAAAAACAAGGATTGGAAAAAAAATTCAAAAAGAATTTCAAATAAAGAAAGTAAAAAAAATATTTAAAAAAAATAAAACAAATGGAAAATAATTAAGATTTATTTTCTGGAAATTTTTTAGATTTTTATAAAAAAAATTCATGAAAATAATTATATTTCCGTAGAAAAAAATAATATTAAATATGTGAGGTGTAAACGAATGATAAAAGAATATAGAATTGTATATCATAATAAGATTCAATTTTTAATTTATAAAAAGTTTTCACGAAAGATATTCAGAGTTTTTGAATATATGTAAATAATGTGAAAATAAATACTTCGGGTGAGATATCTCATATATAGAATTCAATTATATTGTATTATATATTTATTTCAAAATTTATGATTATTTTTTCTTTTATTTTCTAATATTATAAATCTATGTATTTAGAAATATATTTTTTATTTAGATATAATTAAATTTACAATATACTAATCGTTTTAAAAATATGGGCCATCTTATTTGTCGCTCAAACTTATTCTTTTTCCGAGAATTACGAAATTATTAATTTAACGGAAATTTAACAAAAGAATCAATATTTTAATATTTAATCTAAACTTATTCTAAATATTCTAAACTCAATATTTGTGAAAATAACAATATTTTCACAAATGAATTATTACCTTAATTATAAACATTTATTTATTCATAACTGAACTGCGGGTATTTATGCAAATAGATAAAAAATAGATAAAGATATTTCTTCTAAAAAATTGTTTTATCATGAGACAATTCTAAAAGTGTATTTTTTGTTTTGTATATTTTGTATAATATATATATCTCGCATAATGCATATACTTCATAGAATACATATTTTTTGCATGTTTTACGTATATTAATGATTAGATAATAAAATACTTAGCAAATAAGTTTCATTAAAATTGATTTTCAAATTCTATAATATAAAATTCTAATAATAAAAAAGTTAAAGACAAAAATGTTATTATTAAATCTATTAAATTAATTATATGATTTATAAATATCAATGAAAATTTAGAATTTATGTCCAAAGTTTATAATGAAGTTAAAATAAAATATAAAAATTTTCTTGAAAAATATCAAAATTTTTATATAATTATGTAAAATTAATAGTGTTTTTAAAGACATAATTATTGATGGCTCAAACAAAATTGAATCATATATTCTTAGAAAAAAAATATATATATATATATGTATCTATTATATCACTAAATAATATCATTGAATAAACATAAAAATTAATTTTTCAAATAAAAAACAACATAACTTATTAAAATGTGAAAAAATTATAATTATTTATTGTAATGAAAATTATAATAAATAATAAACAACGATATAACAATTAATATATCTTATACATATTTTTTATATTTTATATATATATGTATTTATACATATTTTTCATATATTGATATCTTACTGTTATATATTTATTGCATGAACATTTATAATCTATTAAAAATCAATTTAATAATCAAAACAATTTTAACAACTTGACATTTGCGTGTAAAATAAATATATAGAAAAATTGCGCAAATGCAAATTCTTTTGTATCAGTTTTTAAATATAAATATTTTTTCTTTATATGTTGAATATGTTTATTAGTCTAAATAACTAAATATTAGTATATCCATTCCAATAATAATATTATTATTTTCAAAATTATATATCATTATAAAATCTTATGGAACATCTTCAAAAATTTATGTTATTATCATTGTTATATTATATCATTGCTCTTACTATCAGAAAAATAATGGAAATATTTTGATAAATATAATCAAAATACAATCTTTTTTCATTATTAAAATTTATTTTAGAGGATTAACGGGAAAAATAATAATACATACTAATAATTAATAACAAAATTATAATGATAAAATATAATGATAAAAAATAAATGATAAAAAAATGTAATATACATTCATAACAATACTAAGAAAAACTTAATTAATAAGCTACTAAAAGTAATAATATTGAATAATCTATTAATAGGTTTACGATAATATCCGAAGGATAATAATATTTTAGATCTTTATATCCTAAAAATACTAACTCAGAAAAATAGAATAAAAAAAAATAAAAGTTCGCAC